ACTATTTAGGATGTGGACATATGGTACAGAAAGGTATCGTGAACTTAACTTCTTTAAGTCACTTTATAAGTCTCACGATCCATGTACTTGTTGGTTAAGTAAATGACTAAGATCATTACTGAAAACAACATAATGCCCTTAATTAATAAAGTGAAATATCCTTAAAGTTTACATCTCATGATTGGCTCTAGAGCATACTTCTAACAATGACATATAGTTTCACTAATTCTTGATTCTCGCTACTTATAACCTTGTATGGTTTTTATTAGGGATTTATGCTAAAATAGCCACTTTTCAAAACATTTATTCAATAATAGCCACTTCCCCATTTTGGAATAGAAGTTTTGTAAAGTGGCTATTGTAGCCAATTTCGCTTTTTATTAATTTTAGTTTTTTATGAAAAAAAAAAAACTCCATGATTATAACAAAATTAATGGCCGCTCTTAGGTCAATTTGTTCACTTATTACTATGTTTTTTTGCACATCTGGTAATGCATCTCCTAAACTTAAGAGAGCTTAAAAAATTGGAGTCCGTACAAGCGGAAAGTCAATTGATATCAGAAACGCCTTCACAATTAATTCCAGCACATTGCATGTAGGGATAAAGATATGGTGAATAGAATTATAACACATTGCATACAACAAATTGGAAAAACAAGTCCGCAACAACACCTTATTCTTAGAAGATTGGCACAAGAGAAATACTATAACAGCCATTAAATCATGTATACACCCCAATATATTAACAGCTTTGTGGCTCCGTTATTCTTAGACTTCAACTTTAAACTTAGCTTCTTTGCCTCCCCAATTCATAGATAGACTTCAACTTTCCATTTTCTTCATCACCTGCTCTCACTGTTTAAACATATAGACCAATATTAATCATACTTTTAAAACAGAACTCAAAGGCTAAAAATATGCCAATTCTGAAATGGTTTTGTTTCTGCATAAGAAGAAGATGAAGAGTCTCCTTCCTATCCTACCCAACTATGAAAAGAAGAAGAATACATAACAAAATATTTCCTTTTTCATTTTTCGCCCGCTACTAAGCGGAAACAAAAGACTGAAGAAGGAAATTGAGTATATACAATCACTTATGGCTGCAACCAAAGAAGAAAAGGAGCCACTGAAAGATCCTCCTATAGACATTAGCAATATGAGTTCATAACTACCGCCAACTTGTGGATTTCTTTATCATCCTTTTACTAATGTTTTCCAAAGAAATGACCAGGTAATTATAAGGGCTTGTCCAATATAGGTCCCTATATTTTCTACTTCCTAGACATATACCCACCACTCTATAAATCTATATGTAAAATCCAATTTCAGATTTAAATGACCAGTATGATATAAGAGGTCATAGTATTCCTATATTTTTACATCGTTGCCACCAAACTTCATATTTTATTTATAATTTATTTCAAGCATTTCATTAACTACCATAATTTTAATTAATACTCCCTATTAATAGCATATCAATCACCCCTTTTTTTTTTGGTACCATTCCCTCTACATATCACCCCTAATATTGCAAACCCAAAAAAAAAAAGTACACAATAATTTATAGAAAATATAGATGCACAATAATTTATAGAAAAAATAATAGGTAGATTATTATCCATGAAAAAACTAGATTATAGAAAAATAGGTACACAATAATTTATAGAAAATATAGATACACAATAATTTATAATAAAAAATAATAGGTAGATTGTTATCCATGGAAAAATTAGGTACAATAAATGAAATCCAAGTTCTAAAATAGATAGATTATTATCCAGGAAAGATGGAACAAAATTTCAAAAAGGCAATAAGGAAAATTGCCTTTTTCGGCCAACAAATTGTTGACTCTATTAATGAATTTTAATAATAAAACGGATAATTAATTGCAAAGGAAATCACCACAATAAATTGGGGAACCAAAAATTAAAACACCACCCCATTACACGTTGAAATATAAGTAGGGGTATTTTGGCAATAAAAAATTATAATAAATTAGATATTGAGCTTAATAAGGTAACTTGATGAGTTGGATCTTTGTCATGGGTTTATTTATAGGAACAAAAAGTGAAAGGTCGCAGGTAAGGTAAGTTGAATTTGAAAATGTAAGCCAAATTTACTATAATTATGAAAACAAAAAAAATAAAAAAACAAAAGAAGAAGAAACAAATGAAAGGGCACAAACCTCTCGACACAAACTAAGAGTCAGCAATGTGCTTGAACTCCTGCACTTCCGTGGACTTCACTTCCTTGAACTCCGACACTTTCTTGAAGTGCTCCCAAGGCCTCACATAGACCTTGGCTTCAAAGAGCTTCTTCTTGCCCGCGTCGGTGGCCTCAATAGTCAAATAGTGATTCATCCCAGCAACTACTTGCCGCTTTTCATTCACCACCCTCACAAACTCAAGCAGACCATTATGCTGCACAATTATTCAATCAAATTAACTAATTAATCAAAATCCCATTCACAATCTTTGTTTGACAGAAATAGAATAAAAGGGTTTTTACCTCCTTGTTGTGTTCTTCGACGGCGAAGCGAGCGAGGCTTATGGTTTCGACGCTGTTCACGGTTCCTGGAGAGTCGGTTATTCCGCCACATATGGAAGTAGATTAAGAGGAAGATTGCAGAAATGGAAGTAGTATCGCTGATGGTGGGAAGGTTTCAGCTATTGAAGTTTTATAGTTAACGTCTTTCTCCTCTGTTCACATAAAACGTTTACTTGCATTCTCCTTAGTAATTGATTTCCAGTCGTTCTACTATTTATCCGTACTACCATTTGGTAAGTATCACTAGGCGTGGGCACGGTCCGGATTGGTTCGGTTTTACTCTCAAACCACAGCTGAACCAATAAGAAAATAACGGTCCGGTTTGGTTCGGATTAGCCTAAAACTATAATGAAAACCGAACCAATAACAATAGAACGACACCTGGACATCAATTACTAACGTTAGAGAAATTTTTGCCCAAGAAAATTCTGAGAAGCCATGATTGTCTTTTCTACTCGTAGCCATGGGTTTTATTTTATTTTATTTTATTTATTTACTTTTAATTTATTAATATTTTAGTAAGTTTTAGTCTAAATTATATGGGATGTGGGTTTCTCACACACACAATCAAGATGCTACAAGAGTTCGAACCTAAAACCTTTTATCTACAACTCAGTGCCTTTTTCCACTCGGTTAGATCCCGTTAGCAGCCATGGTTGTTTTTCCTCCTTTCCATTCAGCACTATTGTTCTTAATGTTACTTAAAATCATTCTTGTACACCATAAAATTAATAAAATTTCTTTTAGGTTGTTAATCAAACAACAAATCTCTCTTTTAATTGCATCCATTTGAACAAAAACCCAAACTTTCGTAGGCACTCACAATCAACTTTCGAAAAATCATGGCTGCCATTGTTTGAGGACAGAAGCAATATCCCCAAATTAACCACCCTCTCCGAAAAAGCATAAGAAAATTAATCCGTGGTTTTCGTTACTTGCATTCTCCTTAATTGATTTCCAGTCGTTCTACTATTTATCCGTACTACCATTTGGTAAGTATCACGTGATAATAACCGGACCATATAATAATGATGGGCACGAGAACTCCACTATTTTGCCTCTCAAATTGGGGACACGTGTAAAGATTCTATTTCCTTGCAGCAAACCTAACGTTGGCTTCCAAATGTGGTTGATAAAACTACATTTAGAGCTCCATAGGAGACTCTAAATTGGAGCTCTATATATATTTTTTATCATGTAATTTAATTTATGTGCTAATTTTTTTTTTTGTTAAATTATTTTTTGTTTATGTTATGTTTGTTTTTTATAATAAACATTGGAACTAAAAAATAATTAAAATTTTGGATGAGATTCCAAAAACAACATTTTATTTCATAACATTAACGACAAACACACATAATATCGAACCTGAGACCATTGGTATACAAATCAATGCAATTTTTTTTACTAAGAAAGAGCTCGTTAAAAATTATATATATTATATATGAAGAAGCAAAAGATTTCGTGCCCTCATGGTTAGCCATCGTTACTCACAGTAGCATTCTCAGTTCTAATATATCTCCTGAATGGAGCACTTCGCAACGGGAAATTTGCGGCTATTTGATTTGAAAAAGGTAAACTTCGATGTAAATATGAGTACCTTATCTTCTCTCTTCTTTGACTAGAAGGGTCCTATTGAGATCAAGACTGACTTGATCGAATTGCAGATAATAATGGAGGTGGTTGGATGCAACTCCTTGTCTTCATCCACATCTCATCCATTTTGTTAGATAATAATGGAGGTAGATGGATGCAATTCCTTGTCTTTATACCTTTCATCCATATCTTATCTATTTTCTAAAAGCATTTACAATCATGCTCCCTATTTTTTAGTTAAAATTTTGCAAAAAACATATAAAAGCTATTTTATGAGCTCTCTATAAAATTTATAGAAAAATTGATATAGATCCAAATTCCTATTAAGGAGTTGGGTTTAATCCTCAGATTTAGTGACTTTGATCCAAGTCCTTTGAATTTTGTGTCACATAGAATTACATTCATTTTTAAATCTTTTTATTATTTTATTTTTAAAATCATTTTTTGTTCCAATGTTGCCCCTTATGACTTGAATCAGGCAATAATCATTTATTTCATGTTGCCTATTGCCTATTGCATAGGTATATATATGTCGTTTCATATATTCGACAATGTGTAATAGTATTTTATGTACCTTTTTTTTTTCTAGGTAACATACAATTTTATTTTGTCTATTTTTGTATATGACTTTTAGTTAGTCTTCTAATTTATCACTAAGTATTTTTGTTGCTAATAATAACACTATTTACTTATATGTCAGGTACATAATTTAATGTGTGTGTTTGTCTGATCGATTGGTATAATATGTGGGTCTTTACTTTTTATTGATTAAATTGTATTTTATCCATATATTTGTGAAATTATCAAGGAAAACATTCAAAATTTTAAATTCTAGAATTCAATTACAAGGAAATAATACATTAAATTTAGATTTTCAATGTGTTTTTCCTTATTTACCTCAAAGGGTAAAATTGACACAACAAAAAAGTAATAAATGTCAAAGGACCTACATTTAAAACCAAAAACGCGAGGACTAAACCCAATGATAGCTAATCGTTTTGGACCTAGATCTAAGAAGCCCAACTCCAATCGTACTATCTAGTTTAGGGACTCATATATGCTATAACTATTTTGTAATTGGTCAATTTCTATAAATAAATAAAAAGTTAGCATTAATTAAAGGTTTAAAATACTCATAAAATAAAGCAGTATTAAATTATAGGGTGTCATTAGGAGTCTTTCTCTCTCCTCAGATTTAGGAGCTCCTAGAGGTCTCCCTATTTTAGGAAATGGATAGGGAGCATGGTTGGAGTTGTATTTTTTCAAATCTTCCATAACATTTATCTAAAGCCATCCCAATGGGAGCCTTAAATTAGGCTCAACCTCCTTGGAACTCTATAATATAGAGCCCATGTGCAAAAAAGCATCCCCAATGGAAGATTTGGGGCCCTATATCCTAAAGCCCCACCAGAGCAATCTATAAAATATATGGACTCTGATAGAGCCCCTATAATCCAAACGGATCCCACAGCATACATCAGCATGGAGGAGTAACGCGCCCAAAGAAGCTCGGCCTTGTACTCGTGCCCGTATTCCATCTAGACCTAATTGTTGGTCATCCAATAGTTCACGTTTGAACGAAATAAATTTTTTTTTCTTCTTTCTGACAGCAACTTCTAACTTCTGATGTTTGGTCATCACAACAGAAAATGGGTTATATGTCACTCACTGCACATTTTATCGATAAAGAGTGGTGTTCGAATAAAAGGATAATTTGCTTTAAAATGATTGAGTACCCACACACCGGAGAGTCACTTGCAACTCATATATTTGATGAATTGTTATCTTGGCACATTCACAACAAAATATTTACTCTATCATTAGATAATGCATCAAATAATGATTCAACTGCAAGTATACTTCCATCAACCCTTTTGCTGGATTCTGTGCATGAAAAGTTGTTTCATGTACGATGTTGTTGTCATATATTGAATTTGATTGTGCAAGATGAACTTAAAGTTTTATCTCCGTCTATTGATAAAATTACTGATATTGTTCGTAGCATGAATTCATCTAACAAGAGACATGAAATTTGGGTGAAATGTTGTAGTGATTTCCATATGGGAAAGAAAAATATAGATATTGATGTGCCTCATAGGTGGAATTCAACGTATGAGCTTTTACATGTTGCTATAAAGTATAAAGCCCCTTTGCATAGGTATGTTCAAAAGGTAAATGAATCACGTTTTTGTAATTTACAAGTACCTAGTGAAGAAGATTGGACAATAGCACAACTTGTTAGTGGGTTTTTACAAATTTTTTATTCATCAACTAAGATATTTTCTAGTGTGTATTATCCTACTTCAAGTCGTGTTATTAATTGTTTAATAGATATTCATGGATCATTTGCTGCATATTCTGAATTTTCTGTTTTTAAGGATGCTTTGACTGAAATGAAAACAAAATTTGATAAATATTGGAAAGAGTTTCCTATGGTTTTTGCTTTGCTACTATTATGGACCTTAGGTTTAAATTATATGCAATTGCTGAATGGTTAGACATGATAGGTATTGATCAATTAACCATTGACTCAAAAAATTTAGCTATAAAGACTTTATCATTTCAGTTATTTGATATCTATCCGTTATTTGATATCTACAAGAAGAATGTAATTCCTGATGTTGTTCAAAATGTGCAAAATGTTGTTGCAACTTCTACTGGCCAAACTCCTGGTTCTATATCTGTCCCTATAATGAGAAATTTCTCTATTGAAGGCTGGAAAAGGAAAAAGCTATCTTCTTCTTCTTCTTCTTCTTCTTCTTCCTCCACCAACACTTCTGAATTACAATTTTATCTTGATTTACCAACAATAGAAGTTGTTGATGATAATCAATTTAGTCTTTTGGGTTGGTGGAAAAACAATCAATCATTATACCCT